GGTAATAAGGGCATGGTCTGAATCTTCTGCCTCCTGGTAAATATAAATATTACAGCATCTCTTTCAAAACAATTTTCTTTCTTGTATCTTTAAAATGTTTTCTCACAGCAGCAGCTCCACAGTTTTATTATCCCTGTCATTACACACTGACACACACAGACACACACACTGTGACACACACACACAGATGTGTGCTGTCTGGATGATTTGTGTGTGTCTGCAGTGGATCTTTACTGTGGTGCTAAAAGCTGAGGAGGCGTTCAGAGCAGAGTTTCATGGTGTCTGATGAGCTGCCAGTCTTTAGGCAAAAAGCCAAATAATAAAGATAATAATATTAAAAACAACAGAGCAAGGACAGCAGCTCACACACAGGAAGTCCTCTGCCTGTCTTCTGCTGAATACTTTAAAGGAACTAAGGCGACCTGAATGTGTTTATTTTATTTTTATTAAACCTTTATTTCACCAGGTGAATCCTGGCCAACACAGCAGCAGCACACACAGGTTACAGATCATTCTCAGCAAAAATAGAAACAGTAAATTAAATAAAAGTTTCCTCAGTTAAAACATTTACAAACAGATGATTCTTTCCAAAAATCAATAAGAGCCTTAAAAACATGGAGTGACAACAGCCTGTTCAGGTATCTGTGCAGCTGATTCCAGGAAGATGGAGCAGAAAACTAAAAAGATTTATTTACAAGTTCAGAATTCAGGCACCGAAAGCAAAATAAATTCTCACAACGAAGACTGTATCCAGTACATTTTCTATAAAGTTAATATCATAAAATTAATAATCCTATAAAATAAAGTGTGATCAGAAGCAGAGCAGAGACACAGTAGAAGAGGCTGAAGTCAGTCAGRGACGGGGGTGAGGATGAGGGGGGTACGGTGGTCCGGTGGGTCACACAGAAGGATGTCCCTGCACAGAGGATGTGAGGTCATGGAGGCGAGCGGCTGCCAGCTCTTTAAACGACTCGTTTTACAGCAGAATATTCTAATCTGACACCTTCGCTCACCTCGGCTGCTGCTTTTATTCCTCCTCTTTCAAAATTAATTTCCACAGAGGGAGGAAACTGTGTCCTCCTTCCTGCCTCCGTCTGCCGTCAGGTTCTTCTGACGTCTGACTCCTCACATCTGGACTGTTTTATCTGCTGAGTGTCGCTGCAGAACCTGAGAGGCTGTCTGCCTCCTGACCTGCAGCAGGAGCTGCTCTCTGCTGGATAAATGTTTATTTATCTCTCAGCAAGGAGGACACGTTGGTCCAGACTGAACCTGCAGGACACAGGAAGTCTTTTCACTCCTCATCGGTCCAACATCCAGCTCTGTGAGGACCTTCAGTCTGGACCCAGACCTTCTGTTGTCATGGACCTGACTCCCTTCAGACCTGTCTGCAGGTGTAGGGTGAGGACACAGAGGACAGGGTGAGGACACAGAGGACAGGGTGAGGACACAGAGTTATTGGAGCGACCCGCTCCAGTGAGAG